AATTCAAATCTTTTACTCCAATCCAATTTATTATTTTTGTAATATTCCCGTAAATTACCATTCTCCATCCATTCTGTTACCAAATAATATTTTAGGTCGTCAGAAGACACAGCTATTCCATAAAATCTAATAATGTGTTCAGAATCTTTTAATTCTTTCAGAATAGCAACTTGTTGACTGAGGTCTTTTTTTTGATCATCGGTGATCTGAGGAATTTCTTTGAATGCATATTCTAAAAGGAATGCACTATTCCATCTACAATGTATGGTCTTACCACGTGGTGGACATTCGAATTTTGGTTCGTAATCTTCTAGTTTTAAAAAGGATCGATGTTCAATTGAGACTTCAGCACCTTTACGTAAGTCCCGTTGATAACGAACATTTAAATCCCTAATTCTTTTCATGCTTGTAAAAGTATCTGAACCAGATTTACTATCAGACATTTCATGCATGAACTATAATGGATGTAACGATTTAATAAGCATTATACATAAATACAGAGTTAATCTATAATTTTTACCATCAAGATTTTACATAGCATCACAGTTGCCGTCCAAACCTAAGTAGTTTGGGCCTTTGGGACTTTCTAAAGTATTAACAAATTATAAAGGAAATGGCCCAATCAAAAACAAGGTACAAATCCTAATCCTATGTACAAATACCAATCCAATATACAAATCCCAATTCTATGTAAAAATCTCAATTCTATGCAGTCACTACTTACAATATATTGAATAACATATACTTTAGAAATTTTGCAAATAACCAATCCAGAAAATCAGAACATATTAAATTAATACGTATTTAGTATCACAAAATGTAACACTTTCTACTTTGTACTATAGATTTAGAACGAGGAAATTGATCATAGAACAACAAATTTTAACTACGATGCAATGTCATATAATACAAATACTAGAACTAATTTAAAATTTTGTAACATATTTGAGATTTGGAACAGGTTTGGAGTTTGGGATTTGGGTCGGGTTTTGAATTTTGAAACATAAATTGGGATTTGTGTCAAAATTTAGATCAAAATTGGGCCAATGGTAATATTATTTGGACGGCAACTATATGTAGCGTACCTTTTTCATTTTTGTCAAATCGGTACGAATAACTTTGATTTGATATTGTAGCTCTGTCTCTTTATTCATAACATTAAAATCGTCCTTCATCTCTTTAGCATATTCTAACAACTCTCCAGTCTCTTGATTTAAGCTCTGAAAATACCGAATCGTACTCATATTAATTGCCAAATTCAAAGAATTCATGTAGCCATCAAATTTACTCGACAAATCCTTATACTTTTGTATAATGTTATTAGAATTAAAGAAGGTACCAAATGAACCGAGCTGAGAAACATCAGCAACAAATTTTCTAATATCAAGCATGCATTTTAGGAAATCCTTTATAAGTTGAAGATTAGCTGACTCTTTAAAAAATTCTTGATTCTCTTGCTTTCGAATTTCTAAATCTTTTATAACTGCCACAGCAGAATTTACACGTTTTGTTAAATAACTAGATAAATGTTCATTATGTTCAGCTTTTTGATATAACGTTACAATATCTTCCCCTAATTTAAAAAATATCTCAATTAATGGTGCGAAAGGTTTAAAATTTTCTGTTGCTTCTGCAACTCTAGTCAGAGCGCTGACAGTCACTTCTAACGGGTTAATGCTGAATTGATTTCCATCGCACTCATATTCCATTGGTGTCGCTGCTTCTGCCAAATTCAACAATTCATTAACTTCTATTTTTTATTGAAGTTTTTACAAAAATCTTTACAGAAGGTAAAATTTGTGTTAAAAATTTTTAAATTATTAGAAGTAAAGTTTACGGTTGATTGTAAGTACGAATGCAATTTGCCGATTTTGAGACATTTTTACCTTTGTTTATCAGTATATATCTGATCATTGCCTTGTTTGTGCCAGTAATACAAACATAATAAATTCGAAACTTTCGCCGATGATTTTTCAATAACTACGTACTTGATCAAATTCGGTAAAAAAAAAAAAATTTATTTTAA